CTTGGGACTAGCTCGCCAGACCCCCCCAGGGCTTCCCCAAATCTGCCTGGGAAAGTGTAATTACCATTTAAAGGACAATGTGGGTGGGTTGCTACCTAGGGGGGCAGGTGGGGGATCATAATTATGAATGATACGAGTATGGTAACCCTGAAGGTACAAAACCAATGCAACATGGCTGCATAGGAGGAGGACGTACACATGGCGTCACTGCTGTATACAGGCAGATGGGGAAATCACACATCTGATACTCGTATCCATTGCAGGGGGAGTCTGTCCACAGCAATGGCTGGGCAACTTCAGCTCTCCAGCTGCTGCAAGACTGACAGGTACAGACGTGACTCCCAGAGGCATGCTGGGATTTGTAGTTAAAGCACAGCTGGAAGGCCGAGGTCGCCCACCCTGATCTAGCACAATGCCACAGGTGGCGGCTACAAGTACAGGAGGAAGAAACGTTCACCCACCTGCCAGTTTGGCGTTCACCATGACGTAGAGATGCTCCTCGGGGTAAGCGGCGGTGTCCCTGGAGATGGCGTGCAGACTGATGGAGGGATATTCCAGAGAGAAGCCCAGGCCCAGTGAATTCAGCCATGACAGGCGACTGGAAGACAATGAATATCACACAGGTGAATAAGAGACTTTCCCCCACAGTACATCTACATGTCCTCAGCCTGACTTACAGCATCATTCAACCCTCTCTATGTGAGCCCAGGCCATCCTGGACCCTCCCCCACCCTGTGGTAATCCTGTCACTCTGCTCTCTCCTCCTATCAGCACATCAACTGAGTGGCTCCTTGTGGTGTCTATCTCTCTCCCAGTCTGGGCTCTGATGTACAGAGACTACAACAGGCTGATACCAGGCCTACCTCTCGGCTATGTAGAGCGTGCCTCTCCCCAGCTTCTCCCCGCTCAGCACGGCCTCGGTCTCGTCCTGCTGCCGCCTCACCCCTTCCCCGGGCGGCGAGAAACTCTTCAGCGTGCCGAGCATAGCGCCGCGTCCCCAACCACGTGACCCTCCGACAGCGCGACCTTAAAACCTCTCCCCGGACTCTCCACAGCCAAGTGACAGAAGAGAACACACCGGCCGGCAGCGCGCCAGACTTTTTCTGACAGACACGGACCGGAAGTGACGATCCCCCAACCACGTGACCCTCCGAATGCGTCCTCCCTCTTGCCTCCGAGGACAACCGCGGCCACGCGCCAGTCTGTTTCACAGCCGGAAGTGACGCGTAAAGCCAGGCGGCTGGCCAACCGACTGACGTCACTTTGGTGGCGACGGACGGTAGCCTTAGCAAAGGGAAATTTGCTAAGGCTTTTAACAGCCGGGAAATTAACAGCCGGTCGCTGGCTTTTTAAAATGTTTAAATTGTCGTCTTTTAGGCTTTTAGGTCGTCTTTTGGATGTAAAAAAAAGAATCAGAACGGGCAACAGAAGCTATATATGTGTGTGTGTATGTATGTGTATATATATAT